AATCTCTCCACATACTGACAACCAAAGAATCCAGCTGAGGGCCTGGATCCTAATATCCTGCTTGAGTCCAGCTGAAGACCTAGAGCCCATAACAATGCTTGCCATGAGCCCAACTGGAGGCCTAGAGCCCAGGACAATGCCTCACGCAGGCCTGCTTCATAGATCTGCCCAAAGGTCGGTAGTGGAAGCTAGAAAGTCTGTGTCAGTAAGATCTGTGCTAGCAGGCTGAGGGATCTGAACTTGAGCCAGGAAGCAGTGCTCAAAGCAAAAACCAGAGCTCTCCTGAAGGGACCACAGCCATCCTTAGTGACCGTGAGGTCCCGAGCTCCTCTGAGGACGAGGGAAGCTGCCTTCCCAGCAGGAAAGCCAATGGGACAAGCTCCTTCAAGAGACGGAGCAGTGCACCCTCTTCCTCTCCAGAGCCAGGACGCAGTGCTGAAAGTGAGGAGCAGAGCTCCCCCAAAGTGAACCCCAGCCCTTCTCTGTGATGAAGTCCGGAGCTCCTTAAACAATGAGATCAGCCGAGTTCGTCAGGAAAACCAATAGCTCGCTAACAGCCTCCCTCCTTCCTGTGCAATTCTGCCGCTTACGCTGCCCACAACAATCCTCAGGTGGCCTCCCATAGCAAGCGCCACGTGGTTCAGTTCAGTTGGGTGTTACATATTGACCACCAGTTGTCAATCCACCACACACCCCAAACTCCCAAATGATTAGAGGTGAATGTGGGCTAAATATATACACAAAATAATGAAGGCCAGGGACTTGAACAGATGTTTGTACGTACATGCTGACAGCAGCATTTCTTGTGATAGGCAAAAGGTGGAGAGAAAGAAATCAAATGTTCATCAACGGATGTGTAGATAAGCAAAATACAGTATAAGCATACAATGGAATATTGTGAAATTCTGACACAAGCAACAGCATGGATAAGCTTTGAAGATATTATGCTGTTATGGTTTGTGTCTAGGTGTCTCCCCAAAGCCTCATGCAGTCTTGGGGCAGCTTCTGGAGTTTATGATTGATTAGTGTGGGTGTGGCTGCTGCACCTGCCCTGGGGCAGGTAATTTGCATTACAATGTAAGGTGGGAAGAGAAGCTAGCTGCTTGAGCTGCTGCTACCCCTCCCTTGCGCTCTTGCTCTTTGCCGCCATCATGAAAGGTTGCCCTCTGCCATGTACTGCTCTGCCTTGGAGCCAGGTGAGTAGGGATTGAAAGCTCCAGTAACTGTGAGCTAAATCAACCTTTCCTTCCTTCAGTTTGGCTGTCGGGTATCTGTCCCAGCAACAAGAGAGGAGTAACTAACACATGTGCTAACTGCAATAAGCCAGTCACAAAGGGCCAACTGCAACTGCTATCTGATTGCCCTTACATGACTTTCTCTGAGTAGTCAAGTAGAGACCCCAAGTACAAGGATAGCTGCCAGGGAGTGGGGGCAGGGTGGAAAGCAGTACTTCATGAAACAGTTTCGGTTTCACAAGAAAGAAAAGTTCTCTGTGTGGAGAGTGGTGATAGTAGCCATGTGCTTATACTGCTGAACTATTAAAACTGGTTAAGATGTTACGGTGGCGCACACCTGTGAGGCTGCCCTCAGCTGCACAGTGAGATGTTCCCTATCCCCAAAACTCAACAAAGGGAGGGAAGAAGAAATGAAGGAAAGGAGAGGAGAGAAGAGGGGGAGGGGAGGGGAGGAGAGGAGGAAAAAAAGAAATCTCGTCATTTACAGGAATTTACTGGAGATGATCATCATGCTAAGTAAAATAAGCCAACTAGCACCAGAAATACAAGTTTTCCCTACCATGTGGAATCTAAAGAAGGTGATTATGAAAGTAGAGGAGAAGCTATTGTTAGGCAAAGGAAATGGGGAAGGAGTGGTAATAGGAGGATGGGAAAAGTCACTAATTACATCATTAGCAAATCATAATGTTGATATGAATTTATTGAGGTGGAAAAGGTGTCCACTACACTCCGTTAAAGGGAAACAGTAGGTTACAAACTATACATATGGCACTGTCAATTTATTTTCAAAATGTATTAATGCAGAGACATTCAGGAATTTTCTAGAATGACATTAACTTGGCTATTGTTAACCTATCCCTGGAAGTGAGACATTGAGCACATTTTTCCAAAGATTTGTAAATTCTTCTATAAAATTTTTCTATATGAAGGAAATTAAGAATAGCTCTAAGCAAATGAAGCAATGGATATATTAATTAGCTTGCTTGTAGTAATCACTTCAAAATGTATACATCTCAGGGCCGGCAAAATAGCTCAGCAGATTAAAGCACCCACAAGCAGGCAGAGGGGCCAGGGGTTCGATCCCCGGGCTTGCCGTGCAGGCCCTGTCCCCAGGGCACATTGAGACAGCAATTGAGACTGGGCTTGGTGGCATGCTCCTATAATCTCAGCACTTGGAAGGCTGTAAACAAGCAGGTCACTATGAGTCCGATCTAGTAGTGAGACCCTGAACACCCTGTAGACCCTTCCCTAAAATACAAAAAATAAAAAGCAAAATGTATACATTTCAAAACATGAGATGTACACCCTAAATATATGTGATCTTATACCAAACTTAAAAGGAAAAATGATTAAGATGATAAATTTCATGCTATGTGTATTTTGTCACAGTTTTTAAAATGTGCATTAAAATTTGAGAATTTCAGGCCAAAGAGATTCATGTGGTAAGAGTAGCGCAATGAACATGACTCTTAACCAGTGACTACCCACTGGCATTAAACACATCCTATCACTATGAGATTAAAAAAGCATGATAGAGATTATATGTGATAGGTTTCAGCTATAGAAAGATAAAATGTACCTATGCATATACCGTGTTCCTAGCAGGAAACAGTGCACAAGGGAGCACGCGGATGGATGTCAGCAGTAGCTCTATTCCAAAGGGCGGCCTTCTTTCCATCTTTGTCCCTTTTCACACTCCCCAGGTTTCACATGACAGGCAGACATTATTCTTATAATGGAATGTAAAGACAGGGTAAATATAAAACCAAACCACGAAAACATTTCAATGCAAAAGAATATTTATTCAATCTGCAGATGGCGAGGTGTCTCCATGTTTAACAGGAAAAGACAGGAAAATGTATCACACAAGATTAATTTATTGGTCACTTTCATCACTTTGAAAAATGAGACCCATAGCTTGAAATTGAAAGCCAAATTCACACAACTTGATATGCAAATGCCCAGAAGTCATACAGAGGAACAAAGCTCAAAGCCACTATAAGCAAAGAGAAGCTAAAGGAGGAAACTGCTTTCACCTGTCATTGTAGGGGTGTTTTTAAATGGTTTTTGTTTGTATGCTTGTTGCTCTAGTCTTTAACTTTGGTACCCTAAGATAGCAAGAGCAAGAAGAGGAGAAAATGGAGACTTTTTGGCCATTTGGCACTGAGAGACTATCCTTGGGGAATAACTTGCAATATATAGAAACATTTTATTCAAAAAGTTTATCGACACAACATTATTTATAATACTGAACTTTGGAAATAATCTAGATTTCCAGCAATGGAAAGAAGGTTAAGTAAATTATAATAAAACTACACAATAAAATATATTATCAGCAATATAAAGTATTTCTGGAAAATCTGTAAAAATCACACATACAATTCAGTGGAAAAGCAAGAACATAAGTTACATGATAAAGAATATAGCATGGCAACAGAAATGTAAAAAATTCATACCCTCCCAAAGATAAGATATTAAGTGACTATCTTGTACAGAACATTCACATTTTCTTCACTATTTACTACATTTCTGTTTTCTGATTGTTCTCTAATTAACAGATCAATTTTACAGCCAGAACAAAAACCTTTTTTAAAAGTAAAGTGGGCACTAGATTCTTGAGCAGTGTTCATCTCATTGCAGGATACGGCAGAGTCACGCAAGCCACAGCCTCTGGGTGGAGGAGAGGAGCTGGCTGTGAAGAATGGCTATGAATGGGGAGTGAGGAGAGGAGGTGGGCGCAAGCTAGGTGGCCGGGAGGAAGGGACTGGCAAGGGAGCGTCCGCTAAGGGCAGGGGCATGTGGAGCCAGGGAAGACTGTGACTGCTCTGCAGAGGTCTGTCTAGACCCATAGTAGGCACTGGTGGTGTTATCAAAGGGCAGGGGCAAGAGGCATTTCAGGAAGACACATGGATTCCTTTGGGAACAGGGGAGGGAAAGGGAGGGGCGGTAAACTACTTGGGAAGGAGGGGAGAAGGAATGTGGCGATGGTGATGGGAGTGGAGAAGAGGCCCTCAGCCATAGCGAAGCCCCTGCTCTGTACCTAAGCCAAACGCGCCTTGCTCACGTCCAGGCAGGTCTTTGTGGCAAGCACAGGATAAAGGAAATAATTGCCAGCAGCCAGGAGACGCAGCTCAAACCTCAAACAGGCAATCCAGGGCAGATCTGTCCTATCAAACTCTCTCCCATGGCAGCCATGAGCCACATCTGGGGGACTCAATGCTTGAAATACACTGGGGGCCAGGGATCTTTGAAATGTCTCTTTCCTTTTAGTTATTTAAATTTCAATAGCCACTCATGCTTAGTGGCTACAAGTACATAGCATAGTTCAGCCTGTGACTTCATTGAGAGCAGAACTGAGAATTTCATACTGAAACTGTGCTTCAGGAAGTAAGTGTGCAAATATGAACGCATGCTGTGGCCCTACAGGAACAGCAACTGGTGTGCAACAGCAGCCTGTGTTGAGATGTCTAACTGTGAACTAGAGGAAACAGCGAAATACACTGAAACCATGCCACGAGGAATGTCTAGATTGTCCAGAAAACTCAGAGAGGATGTGATAAAAGCAATACAAAGATGAAGAACAAGAAAGGAAAAGCTAAGAAAAAGCATCTACAGAAGCTGAAGATTTTAAAGCACAGATGAATTCTTGGACCAAGAAGGATGAATAGAGCCCTTGACATCTTAGATGCAAACTGCTATTACCCAAGCCACTGCTTTAACTGCTGTGGGGCGCTGTATTATCACATGTACTTTCACCAGCATTTTTCTAGCTATGTAACCCACTGCAGTAGCTTAAGCTAATTCGCAATTTGCTATACCCTATTTCACAAATATTTACCTTCTAACATTGAGGCGTTTGTAATGAAAAAAGCCTAACATTGCTCATCGTGATAAGAAACTGTCTGAGCTGTGAATTCAGAAAGTTACTCATGCTTCTGATGACTACGATCATTCGTCAGCCTTCTCACGCTAGAATACAACGTGCGACACTCCACTCCTTTTGAGATGACAGGGACTATGTCAGTGATGGTGTTATATTTTAGAGCTTCCAAGGATACAGACAGCCTGCTGTGCACACAGTTCACTGGACTATGCCTGGCTTATTACTTTCATATTTAGGGAATAAAGAAGTACATTCAGGAGATTAGAGAATTACTTCATATTAAACTAATAAGATGTTTTCACAATATTCAATTTAGAATGTAATAAAATTAATGTTTTTTTAAATAAGGGATTAAAACTAGGCTATTTTCTGCCTCCTGGATAAATAGATGGCTGCAGTCAACCATTCTTGAAAAGGAACATTAATATGGCTTTGAGTGACTCACAAGTCATGGGTATTACACTGAAATGTATCTCACTACGAATGACAGCCTTAACGGAAGGCCAGCGAGTTCGAAGGTCACATTACTTGCTAACATATTATTATTTGGGCCAGAAACTATCTGAAAACTTTTAACCAAATTTTCCACACATCTCATCCCTTCAATATACTAGGTGTTATTTATTAATGTAGAAATTACGTATTAATAATTTCATGGATATGTTATGTTTGGATTTTGAAATACTATGTTTTTAGAAACAAAAATTGAAGGTATTGGTTTCTGTAATTATGTGTTTCTATAATTACTTAACTTTATATCTGAGACAGAAGTGTGAGTTACATATTGATACATTTTGAATAGATTAGACTACCTACTATATATTCTTAAATTATAAACAAAATAACTGGGACCTTAGAGTAGAACCTAATTAGATGTATGTTTCCGTTTTTAAATGCAATAATTCCACAAATGAAGCATTTCTTGAGTGTAATGGTATGTTTGCTTAGTATGCTCTTAATATACAAATATATGATATAATTTGTTCACTATATACTTAAGTGAGTCATCTATGTCTATTTAAAAGAGAAAGGGAAAAAATAAAAACAGACACAAAGGGGGGAAAACAGTTTTAAAAAAACAAGTAAAAGAAAGTTTCAGCTGAGCGCCAATCCAACGGCCAAAGAAATTACTAAGGATGAAATGGTCACAAATTCATGGGGCAAATTGTCAATGCATGCTTTGATTACTTCCCCAGTTTTCAGTACTATGGGTAATGACAAAATAACCACCTCTCGTGCTTCCTCTTGCCAGCTCAAATATTTTCACTCTGGCTGGCCAAACTCAAGGCATTAATGATGGAAGGATTTCCCCATGTTGGGAGTAATTATATATATTGTGGTCTTGCAGTGGGTCAGAATCGACAAAATACAGCTCCCCTGCATGGATGTCAGAAAAGTTGGCCAGAAATTCATTGGGATCGAAGCCCACCCACACAGTATACCTATAGTCTATGGTGCGTATGGAGTAACCCATGATCTTGATATCTTTTAAACTCGGCTTGTCAGAATTCCACTGAGGGGAGTCTGCAGGCCGGGGGTACTGGCTGTAGGCCACGGACTCACGGGGATTACCATGGAGCTCTGGATCTTCTTCCAAGTCATGGGATCGAAAATGCTTCAGAAGGCTCTCACCTTCTCTGCACAGCTCCACGTGAAATGAAGGAACAGGACACGGAGGCGGAATGTGCAGTCCTGCGAGGCCAGCGAGCGTGGGGAAGAGGGACACAAGTTCCACGATGTCCGTGGTTTGCCTGCCTGAAACAGAAAGTGACAGGGCTGAATGTGTTACCATGTAGACTTCTGCCACAGCGGCAGGATGAATGAGGGCTGGGCTCCATCTGTCTTCTTGTTTTGTTGCAAACATTTCTTGTTAGCAAAAGAAGTTTAGAAACACCACTAACTCACACCAGATGCTCTACTGACCACTCATCCAGTCCAGAGGCAGAATGTAAAATTAAGGCACCTGCGACCTGTTGGCACTGTTAATAGCCACCTGAATTCTGGAACCACCTACAGAACCCAGTGCTTGATTTGGGCAAGCTTCACTGCTTAACACTAACACCAGAGGCTAACACTCTGTTAAGGAACAAGGATTCTGCGTCTCATCGCATCATCCTGTATATTACAATGGTACCTCAGCTCACAAACTAATCCTTTCCACAATTCTAGTTGTTCTACCACCAGAATCAAGGGAAGAATTAAGTTTGTGAACTGAAGTACCACTGTATTCCTTTCTAGACCTCTGCATTTGATCTGTCTTCTCTTTTTCATATTTCACCATCTTTAGTGGCTACTTTAAGTGGCATTAAGTAGCTTCATATTGTTATGGCAACATTACCACCCCTTATTTCCAGAACTCTTCATTTTATACACCTGAAGCTCTGTTTCCATTAACAACAATAACAACAACAACAAAACTCCCCATTCCTCCACCCACAGCACCTGGCAACCCCATTCCATTTTCTATTGCCCGCTCTGGATACCAGAATGGGATCATCCAGTAAATTTCCCTTTGTGTCTGGTATGCCTCACATAACATAATTTTCTAAAGATTTATGCCTGTGGTAGCATGTGTTGGCACCTCCTTCCTTTCTCAATGCTGAATAAATATTCCCTGTATGTGTATGCCTCGTTGTGTGCATCTATCATCTGTCAAAGGGTGCTTGGCTTGCCACTATGAACATTCACATTCAATTTGTTTGCATATTTGCTTCCGGTTCTTTGGTATGGAAGTGCTCATGTGTTAAGTCTATATTTAACTTCTTTTTGTAGTAATGACATTGAAACTCCTGCCTCATGCAAGATAGGGAAGTGTTCTACCACTGAGCTACATCCTTCACCCTCTGCCCTTTGAATTTTGAGATAGGGTCTTACCAAATTGCCCAGGCTAGCCTCAAACTTGAAATTCTCCTGCTTCTGTTGACTAGCTGGTATTACAGATGGGCCACGCGCAGCTACACTTAATATTGCAAGGAATCACCAAAGCATTACCCACAGCAGCTACATCATTTCCCATTCCTGCTACTACTGTATAAGCATTCCAGTTTCTCCACTTCCTTACCAGTACTTGCTATCTTCCGTATTATTATCATTATTATTAGTATTAACGTCCATCCTAATTGCTATGAAGTGGTCTGTTCATCTTTCAAATCTAAATCCTGCACTGAACACTGATTCCTGTTAGAACTAACGTAGGCTTTTCTGCTATCACTTTGGCCTGTCTGGATAGTTTATGGTTTTGCTTTATAATGCCCATTTTCATTTTCTGGATACTTGATTTGTAACTACACAAAAAAGTAGAGGCTTTAAAAAGATACAATGGCAGATACTACCATCTTGAAACAAATGCTCAAACTTCTCATCACTAACAGTGGCCCAGGCTGCCCTGAAGTGGCCCTGGTGTGCTATGATGAGAAGACACGCCCCATGCAGTACACACCCAAAACCTCCTCCCTGGATCCCGCTACCCAGCGTGGGGCACCGGACAACCAGCCTGGATACTTGCCAAAAGAGCTCAGAGAAACAAAGGGGAATCAAATCATACAAAGCCCTATCAGACACTGTGAGGACTAAGAAAACCTAGAGGCTTCTGAGCAGGGCTATAACAAGGTCTGCCTTGGGCTTTTTCGGTTTTGATTGTGTGTGTTCGTACTTCTGCAACTGGAATCCAGTGCCTCACTGTATATCAGGCAAGAGCACTGCCCTCGCACTAGCCTTGGGCTCGAAAGGGATCATTTGAGCTACCTTAAGGAGGAAACGCAAGGATCAAGAGAATAAGCAAAGAGACATGGCAAGATGCTTCAGTGGTTCAGAAGAGACGCTGGGGGGAGGTGACAAGTAGAGGGAGGGACAGACCCTGAATGCAGAGCAACAGGCTACCGGTGTACTACACATCACATGTGGAGTATGAAAGAAACACGAGTTGAGAAGATCTTCATTCTGTTGGCCTTGGTGACTATTAGCATTTCCCAGGAAGAGGAGTGCTGAAGTAAAGGCTGAAGGTAAAGAGCAAAAGCTCAGTTTCGGGCATGCTGCAGTGCCAGGTGGGACAGGTTGCTGACAATACAAGCTGAAGTTCAGAGCTGATTCATGCTAAAGATACAGTTTGGAAAAAAGCTGGATAAACAGAACAGTTATGTAAGTTGTAACTTCCTGGAAAAAAAAAAACCAACAGAAGTTGTCAGAAGAATTCTCCTAACAAAAAACTTAAAGTCATGTCCTAAAACAGTCCAACCTTTCTATCAGTAATATGAAAGAAAAGAATACAGATTGCCCTAAAATTAAACATGCAGAAAGTTTGCCTTGCAAGCGCAGGGTCCCGAGTTCAATCCCCAGTACCATTAAAAAAAAAGTGCAGCAAGTACAACTGGGCAGTGTACAACAAATAAAAACATGTAGAAAGGCCAAAATGATGTTCTGAAATCAAGATTAAATACTTACAGAGGAATCAATGTAAAGTGGAAGACG